AAAATAAAATGTCATTTCAATGGATTATTTATAAATAAATAAACAAAAGACACAGATAAAAACAAAAAAGATTGTTCCTGCTCAGCTTTAAGTTTAATAATGTTTCTGATCTTTAACTCTGATGTTTTAACCTCTTTAAATAAAACTGAATGAATATTTGACCTGTTTTGTAGAAAAGAAGAGTCCTTCGGTCGTAGAGGAGGATGTTAAAGACGTGAAGCCGTCGCTGATGAATTTACTTCAAGTGAGTTTCRGCTGCTTTAAACGTCTCTGATGTTTGTTAAAGTTTCTCTTCTGATCATGTTTTATTCTTCTCTCAGATCAAACAGGAGCCCAGCGATGCGGAGTACACTCATCGCTCTGAGTCTGTTTCCCCTTGGATCGTCAAGAAGGAACCAGACGAGCCGAAGGTCAGACACGCTACGACTCACTTAGCTTTATTTATTTTATTTCTTTACACAATAAGTGTGTTTTAGATTAAAATATAACAACATGACAGAGAATGATGGGATGATTCAGTTGACTGCCTCTGGTTTTGCTTTGAGCTTCTATTTAGCCTTGGTTATATTTAGCTAGCCTTTAGYTACTTTTAGCTTCTAGCTAGCCTTTTGCTACATTTAGATCTTAGCTAGAATTTTGCTATTTTTACTGTTTAGATAAACTTTTTGCGAAGCATTTAGCTACCATGGTGCTACTTTGAGCTTCTATTTAGCCTTGGTTATATTTAGCTAGCCTTTAGYTACTTTTAGCTTCTAGCTAGCCTTTTGCTACATTTAGATCAAATCAATTTATTTCTATATCACCTTCCAAAAACAACCCTCTTTTGACCAAAATGCTGCACAAGTGTTTTAGCTTCTGTTTAGCCTTTATTTAGCCCTTTTGTTAGTTTTAGCTAGCCTTTTGCTGCTTTCAGCAACTGTTCTGTAGTTTTAGCTGTTAGGTTAGCTAGGTTGTTCAGGATAATGAAAGTTGAAAGACATTAAAAATAATCTCTGTGTTCTGCAGGGTACTTTACTTTGAAAATCCCTGGTTGTTCATTGTGTCTCTGCTCTTATTTTGACAGGAGGCGTTGAGGATCAGTTCTGTGTTCTCTCTGTCGGAGGACTCTAAGCCTGCCCCTCCCTCCCCGGCCCAGGTGGACTCGCAGGCGTCCTGCTCCACCTGTCGGAAGGCTCTGATGGACGGGGAGACGGTTTACCAGAGGAAGGCCCACACGGATCTGTTCTGCTCCACTTCCTGTCTCCTGAGGTTCTACCAGAGGAAACCCGTGAAGATGGAGTGCCACTTCTGTCTGCAGTGAGTCTMTGATCAGTCTATGACATCATCGAGTCCGGAGGTTTCTGAAAACCCTTGAATGGATCCGTTTGTGTTCTTTCAGGGTGATAACAAACCCTCAGGACGTCCTCCAGGCTGATGTGGACGCTGCGGGGACAAAGAAGGACTTCTGCAGTCAGACCTGCCTGTCCTCCTTCAACCACCACAGCACGGTTTCCACSAAGCGTCCTGCGGGTTCCACGGCCTCCCACTCGCAGTGCAGCGTCTGCAGCAGACACTGCATCGTAAGGAGCACAGGAACCCGCTTCAGGTCCTCCTGCAGCTGGACGAGAAGCTAAAAGTTCTGCTTTCGTTTGGTTTCTCCTCCTGCAGAGCAAACACGAGGCCATCCTGCAGGGCGTGGTCCACAAGATCTGCAGCGACCCGTGTTTTCACCGGTTCTGCACCATCAACAACCTGTTCCTCTGTGAGAGCTGCGGCTTGCGCTGCACCTCACCGCTGCGCCTGAAGACCGAGGACGGCCGCAAGCTGCTGTGCAGCCCCGACTGTCTGAGCCGATTCAAGCAGGTGAACAGATTCATCTCAGAGGGTGTGCAGAGAAACACCTGCTGGAGTTTAATGAAGCTGGGAGCAGCTACACAAACACACAGTCAGATCTCCTGAATGAGCTGCTGGTTTTTAACAGGATCGTTGTTGTTTGTTTTGTGTGTAGAAAACACAAACGGTGCAGCCGTGCTCCWTGTGTCGAAGCTCCAAACTCCTGTCAGACATGATGGAAAACACAAACCATGAAGACGACATCGAGCTTTTCTGCTCCAAGACCTGCGTGATGGCGTCCAAGATCCAGACCATCAGTGCATCAGGTACACAACTGTTACACATCAGGTACACAACTGTTACACATCAGGTACACAACTGTTACACATCAGGTACACAACTGTTACACATCAGGTACACAACTGTTACACAACTGTTACACAACAGGTACACAACTGTTACACATCAGGTACACAACTGTTACACATCAGGTACTCAACTGTACAACTGTTACACATCAGGTACACAACTGTTACACAACAGGTACACAACTGTTACACATCAGGTAC